CCCCCAATCTTACCCAGGTCATTTCAAAATGTGATACTAAACTGGATTCATAAGTTTTTCAAAAATGACCACAGTCTGAATGGTTGTCGCATTTCATTTGACTTTTACCTCAATAGCCGTGTTTCCATCAACGTTTTCTGAAGTATTGCATCAGAAAAGGGGAATGGAAACGGCACAATTCGAAAAAATTCCTCTAATTCGCATAAAAGTTTATACGTTCGCTTGAGGTAGTTTTTGGGGTTTTTCGAAAAAGAGTTAATGTGCGAAAGGAGGGAAGGAAACACATTTGTTGAATCAGTTCTGACGTCGCGAACATTTATCTCACATGGTTGATTGGCTGTTCCGACTGTCTGAACAGTACTGGTCCCAGTACCTGAGCAACTGCAGCTGGACCCTCCTCCGGCTGTCGGTGTATTCTCAGTTATTCCCATAAAATGAAGAGAATTGCATTTCTTTCTCTATGTCTCCAGGCAGCAGTAACATCACCAGAACTAGTTGATATGATAGAATAATTACAACTTTCCTGATAGTAGCAACACGTTCTTGATCACTTCTTTCTGAGATTCCAACTTCTTCCTGTTTACTACACACATGCGTCTGACGTAATTACACTGCGTTGAATTGCTTCAAGCCACTTGATGGAAACACGTTTGATTCGCATTTCTTCTTTTTTTTTCCTTTTTGCAAAATTTTTAAAATTTGCTCTAAATTCAAATTTACAGTACATTGGATGGAAATGTGTGGGGGTTAGCAGATCAAACTAAACATTTGGAACCTTGTGCAGTTTATATCTTGGAACTCAACATGTCCTCAGCTACAGAGCAGAAGTCTGGTTGCTTCATGTTTTTTCCTATAATTTGCCATGTCCTGGAGGATGGAGAATCCACTTCCAATATATGATAGTAATGTTGGTGTTGGACAGTATCGATACTAAAGTTACAGGATTGATACTTCAGTAAGTTTCACTTTTAGTTGGTCGCTGCTGTTCCGAAAAAATACAATGCCACACCAGAGTAGCCGGCAAGAGGCTGATTCAAATGTAAAGACTGGTTGAAACAATCAGGTCAAATACTTTAACTGTACAACATCAGAATCGAAACACTACAACATCCATACTTCTGTAAACAGTACGCTAAGTATTACGGGATTTCTTCTGAGTATGCAGATCACATCAATGCCACTGGAGTCTGATGGATGTTGCTTTTAAACTATGTGAGGAACCACGCATAAAGATCCGATTTGATGAAACGACAATAGAAGTTGAGCATTAAGATCATAATGGTGTGAACGTGACCCAAGATTATGTGAGAAGTGATATGATGATGGGCAATCTCATGACAATCCCAAAAGCAAAATTTGTCTGGCCCAGTTTTGGCACATACCAGGCACCACCACTCTTAACATTTTGCCTGGATGTCACAAAGAATGACAGCCCTCTGGTGGCACATACACCAGCCAGCACCACGGAAACCAAACAATAACCAAGCCATTGACAGATTTGGGCTGCATAAACTAAATCATACTTGGGCCATCTTAAAACAATGTCACCACTGACAGACCTGGCCCACATGCAGATGACAAACCATACCATACCATAGCCATACCACACCAGCAGTGCCAGCTTGACACCAGAACTGGCCCACACCTGCCTGTTATGTGGGTATTTAATCAAATTAGGTTATAATTTCAAACATTGATGAATAGGTTTCAGTTTTGTTTTTTTGTTTTTTGCTAAATCAAATCCAGCATTGAGAACTATTTTGTTACATCCATTATTGTGAAAGTAAACTATTTCATTCTTTGAATGGAAACATTACACCCATCATCCTACAGGCCAGAGTTTTAACCAAAGTTCTTTCCTGATCTATCAGCACTTAGATTACTGTATGTGTTGAGGATCACTTTCAGCTAATGTCACAACAAATCTTTTGCTCATTATTTGTTATTCATTGGTAGACGAACATCCCAATATGCCTTTATGGAGGTTTCATTATAATTTGTTCATTAGATGTCACACACAAAAGGGCTAAAACATTCACTTGCCTTTACCTTTTGGTGGTGTCCAACTATAAAATGCAACACTTTTATTGAAATGTTTATTTAAACATTTTAAATCTCTTCTCCTCAGACTGTTTTTGATTTGCTCTCTCCAGCCATACATGGCCCCTGGGGTTTAGTGTTTTTTTATGTGTGTGTGTGTAAGTGTGTGTGCGTTTCACTGTGTGCTAATTGACCTTGCAGGGGGCTCCATTGATTGCCTCATCTTCTCTGATAGATTATAGGCCTGTTAATGTGGTGGGGAAATGGCAGCGGAGTGGGCCACAGCTGTTGTCGGCACACACACACACACACACACACACACACACACACACACACACACACACACACACA